AAAGAGCTTCCACTAAGGATAGTGCCGCCCTCTCCCCCCCACACCAGCAACCCCACAACAGAAAAGACACACTGGATCCTGAACCCCACCGAACATCTTCCTAATTTCTATGGACACCTCTAAATTTGATTTCTAAATCCTAAAATCCAAATCCCATACTTAAAGAAACCCCTAAACGCTACTTACCAAAGCCTAAACCAGGTTCGAGTTCGGAGTGGACCTGAAGTTGCCCAGCGGGAGCCTTGCCGGCATCTTCGATAGTCTTTGTGGAACTTGGAACTGGCACGAAGATGTCCAGGGTTCTTTAGGGGAGGGTTCTCTATACGGGTGTATATACAACATCTTTTTCAATTGTTGGGAGTGCGGCTTCAGACTCATGTGTCGAGGGGTTCTCTGGGACATTCCAAGCCATAGATGCCATAGACGTACCGACCTTCCAACCCCCAAGCCAAAAGCTCCGGCCTTTGAAACCCGGTCCCCAAGCTCCACCCGGATTCAGCTCGGGGTTTAGGCCTTTAATGAAGTTAGCAATCAAGTCGGTAGCTGTCTTTCGTTAACTTATGAAGTCAGTTGAAAGCTTGGTGTCGAGAGGTTTGGATTAAAGTCAGAGAGTGGGGTGGGAGCCTCCTGCTTCGACGTCCGGCCATCTTCGTGAACCTTCTGCGAAAGGGCTTGCAGCGAAGCAGGGAAGTAGACTTGTGCAGGGTCGACATGCGAGATGACGCTGTGCTCGAGGTTGCGGTGTAAGAATTCATGGCAGCACTTCGGAGCTCTGACAGCAACCTGGCATCGGACCTGGCCTCTTGGTACTTCTCGTCACCTCTGCAACGCGCCCCGCTGGTGGAGGAACGGCCGAGCACGAACTTTGCACCGGAGCTATGCGGAAGTGGAGTTGTTGTCCCGGCTTGCGGAGGTCCTGATGCCAGGTCAGAACATCAGAGAGCTCTTTCGGGACTTCCCGGTGGAGCCTTCGGAGAAGTGGGGTTCGCGCTGGCTGTGCCCAGACATCACAGCCTACGGGGTCCTGAAACAGGAAGATGCAGCTCTCTTCGTCGAGTATGACGGGCATTATCGGCACTATTGTCCGCAGGGACAGAGCGCAGACGAGCGAAAGACAAACGCCTTGCTGGAGTATGCGCCCGGCGGCTCGCGCGTGCTGCGAATCCGGCATGCGGAACGGAGTTTGAGCCGCATGGATAGCTCGATGCAAGTCACTGTGAATGCCTGGCGTGCAGGCCACACGCCGTCATTAAGCCATGTCTTATGCCAAACTGTGGGGCACCTTCTCAACGACCACCACCATGTTTTTCGCCCGGATGTGTGCAAGCGTCTCCACGCAGTGCACAAAGCAGAGATGCACGCAAACTTTCCTGAGGCATGCAAATTTGCAAGTCAGGCCATTTTCACAGGGGCCTCTGAGATCAACAAGGCCAATGTGCTCAGGTTCCTGGAAGAGGATTTGGAGTTGCCAACCGCCACGACAATTGCCGTAGCAACCAAGTTTGCAAGAATTTCGGGAACCTGCATCGATGGAACTCTGAAGGCGACAGCCGCAAGGCTTGAAGATGTCGGTCTGAGCCGGGCAGAGGTGGCCAAAGTCGTAGCTCGTTGTCCACAGGTGCTGGGCTACAGCATTGAGGCCAATCTGAAGCCCACAGTGGCATGGATTGAAGATGTCGGTCTGAGCCGGGCTCAGGCGGCCAAAGTCGTTGCTAGGCATCCACGAGTCCTGGGCTACAGCATTGAAGCAAATCTGAAACCCACAGTGGCATGGCTTGAAGATGTTGGTGTAAGCCGGGCGCAAGTGGCCAAAGTCGTGGCTGCTTGTCCGCAGGTTCTCTGCTACAGCATTGAGGCCAATCTGAAGCCCACAGTGGCTTGGCTTGAAGATGTCGGTCTGAGCCGAGCTCAGGCGGCCAAAGTCGTTGCTAGGCATCCACGAGTCCTGGGCTACAGCATTGAAGCAAATCTGAAACCCACAGTGGCATGGCTTGAAGATGTTGGTGTAAGCCGGGCGCAAGTGGCCAAAGTCGTGGCTGCTTGTCCGCAGGTTCTCTGCTACAGCATTGAGGCCAATCTGAAGCCCACAGTGGCTTGGCTTGAAGATGTCGGTCTGAGCCGAGCTCAGGCGGCCAAAGTCGTTGCTAGGCATCCACGAGTCCTGGGCTACAGCATTGAGGCCAATCTGAAACCCACAGTGGCTTGGCTTGTGCGTGCTGGGCTGAGCCGAAAGCAGGTAGCCAAAGCCGTTGCCAACTTTCCCGCGCTCCTGAGTTACAGTATCGACCGAAACCTCTCTCCCAAGTTGGCTTTGCTACAACAACTGTTTTCCGACGGAGCGATCGGCAATTTGATTGCATATCATCCGCCGTTGCTCGGCTATAGCTTTACTCGCCTGTATTATCGTTCGGGCATCCTGCGCCAGCGGGATTGCTTGCCGAAGCTCGCCATAGTGATGTCTTTGACCGAGGCGCAGTTTGCGAGGCGTTTTCCTGCGTGAGTTGCGGAGTAAAGTACAACAGCGCTTATAGTCTCAACTTAGAATGGCAATGCCTAGAGGCGGCCGTCGGCATGCCGTGATAGTCTTCAGTAGTTACATGAGGTCTCTCGGACTCTGGCGGAAGAAGTTTTGAGGATGCCAGCAGGACTGCAGGACTTTTCGATTCGGAATCTTTCACCTCCCAAACAAGTTGCGTCCACCGTGGAGCGTTCGTTGTACTTTCGTTGTGCTAGATCGCTGGCAAAAAGTGGTGCGGTCCTGAGCTTGCAAAGTTCGACAAATCGGCGCCGGTGACTACATTGACTACATAATACGGTTTCCCCCGCGAGGTACTGATTGGTGACTGATGCGCTTCTCGGGTAGTGAACCAAACAGGTCGTAGCAGGAGCCAAATTCTCAACTTTCATCCTACGCCTTATGCAACGTAACCTTTGAACCCTTAAGCTTCGTAAACCCTGACACCCTGACCCTCAAACTAAGACTCCTCGAACCGAAGGCTTAGCCCTGCACTCACTGCCATATAACAACTTAAGACATTACTCGAAGGCGTTTGGAGAGATGGTTTTACTAGTCTTGCAGTCAGGGTTTGAGGGGCGTGTATAGCTACATTTCAGGGTTTGCAAAAATTTTTTCAGGCATTAGGGATTTCAAGGCCTCTAGCGCTTGGCATTTCGGTAAAGGCGTAGTAGTGCAGAGGATGTCTCCTTTTGCGGTTATCACGTAAGGGCTTGCGTCCAACTTATGAGTGATTTGGCGAGCCGATCATCAACGACATGGGCGGCAATCAAACTAGCAGCGGCGGTGCAAGAATGCAACATGGTAGCGTTTCGTCTTTTCGCGAGTCAGAGTCTACACAGGCTAGCGAACAGGGCGGACAGTCCTGCAGATCGCCATCGGTTTCAGCGCCAACGAAACACGCAGCCCCGAAACCCTCGATTCCCAGCCTTGGAAACCCGAAACCCCTAAACCCTAAACCACCAAACCACCGTGGAAGCCCGGCTGCAGGCAGACACACCCGGCCGGGAAAAACCGAAGCTGCACGTGACTGGGCAGCAGACTCGACTCAAACCCAGCCTTACTATAGGGGCTTCATTAATTTCCAATACTATATTGGGGGTTTCTCAAGTTATAGCATAATGGGCCCCAAAACCCTATTCTAATTAGTAATAATAAAGGTCCCTATATTACCGTAGTCCTGAAGCCCTAAAGCCTACACTGGGTGTAGGGTTTGTGTTTGTCGGTGTAAAGTGCTTAGTGGTTCACGGCCTTCGAGACCTCGGGCTGTGAGTGTTGGCAAGGCCACAAACAAACTGAGGCTGCTTAAATTCATGCCAGCTGCTATATTGCTGTCACAATGCCCGGCAAAATCTTCGGAGAACTGTCCTATCTCCTCAGGCACACTTGCCCCCTGTATACCAGTACATCCCTGAACACAAAGAACAGCCGCACAACACAAAAAGCAAGAAAAGATATGTTCAAGCGGCAGCTCTCAGTACTGCAGACGAGGTGGTTTGCGGACTTCGCCTCAACGGAGGATTATGAGGCGCGGGGAGGTTTCCTTGTCCAGGGAAGCCCCGAAGCTGTTCAAGCTTAGTTCATCACCAAAGCCTTCTATCTACCTGCGCCCTTCCAGTGATTCGAGTGCATGCCTGAAATTATATAAGCTTGGCCTGACAGCTCTGTCTCCAGAGCTCAAACACCAGGCCTAACGAAAAAGGGGCGTTAAAGAAGCAAAAATTCAAGCCTTGTAGTAGTTCTTTGGATTGCAAGTAGGGTTGTAAATCAATCTTATGGTCCCCTAAAGTCCCCTAGAATCAGAATGCTGGACCCGAAGCCGGATTTCGAATTCCTGGGAGAACACCCACCCCTGAGTAGAACTCGACGAGCTTCAACTGCTGTCCTCGCGCTCCGACTTAAAAATTGCGGAATGTTCTTTGAATTCTGTTAGGGATGTAGAACTATAGAGACCGTTAGTCAGTGAAAATGCGGAATTTTCTTATCCAGAACTGGGGACCCTAAGTTCGTGGACTTGGGATCTGCGAGGCTTATGCAGCGAACCCCGAGCATCAACAGGAGCCTTGGCAAACACTAGTCAGGGGATTCCAACCAGAGGCTAGGGCTTAGTGTTTACGATTTAGGGGATAAGGTCTGGCTAGACCTAAGTCCAGTGGCAAAAAGGGCATTAGGTTTTCGGGAAGCTGGGCTATTAAATTGCTGCCGTTACACCTTGCTAGTGTTGGGTGTTGTTGCTACGGCCATGCATCTCATTGTTGCTAATGTTGCGTTCGCTTCCCATCGCTTGCTTCGGAAATTAGGGCATGCACACATACATACACAGGTACGTACAAGCATACATGCATACATGAGTGCACTTGAACTACATAAAACGACAGACAGCAACTAATGTAAGTGTGCACAAAGGTGCCTAAGTTTATTTGTTCGTGTTTTTGCATGTTCAGCACTGCGGCCAGGTTTGGTTAGCCCTCTTCCATTTTTGAAGGGTGAGCTAGGGTTCAGGATTCCAAAGTCGGCCTTCAGGGCCTTTCCGGTGCCTCGCAGCAGCGGCCAGCATAGAAATCCCCAAGCCCCAGGCGGAAGCATTGATATTGAGGGAGCTAAGGAGCCAAGGAAACCTCCAAAACCACTGGTTAGCGCCTTCGGAAGCATTCCTAGATTTCCAGATGCAGTTTTCTCCGCTCTAGTTTCCGGCGATGGAACTTGGCTCATCATGCCAAGGATGCCAGTCTTCGAAACTCAACATGCACTAAGACACATGAAGAACTCTAGAGCCCACTCCGTACCTGCAGAAGCGCCGGTGGAATGACTGTTGGACATGGATACACAACCTTGTCACACTCGCTCGCTTCTGCGGGTACTGCTCTTGTTGCCGATGCATCAGCTATGCTGCTGTGATTTTGCCCACTTGCTCTTCCCGTTTTGGTTTGATCGAAATTTCACAGCAATGGCTGCTGGCCGCTGGAAGCCTTAAACAGGTCATTGCCGACCTCATCAAGCCCATCATGGAGCCTGGCACTCGCGCGGCAATCCAGTACGTGCGCTGAGCCTGTGAGCTGCCAGTAGTGTTGGGGGACTTGGCTGCTGCCATTGTTGTTACGTAGCCTCCGGTGGTATCAATCTCTACTTGTCTCTACTATCCACTACGACTACGATTTCTCCCACCACCACCACCACCACCACTCCGACAACTATACTGCTACTGCCACTACTACTACTACTACTACTACTACTACTACTACTACTACTACTACTACTACTACTACTACTACTACTACTACTACTACTACTGCTACTGCTACTGCTAGTGCTACTGCTACTGCTACTGCTACTGCTACTGCTACTGCTACTGCTACTGCTACTGCTACTGCTACTGCGACGACGACGACGACGACTACTACTACTACCAGTTTAGCACTCAGGGTCGAAAGGCCACTTCGAGGCTACAGAACCGCAACAATGTTCATGACTTGACCCACTTTAACCCTAAAGAACTGGCAGGAATTCCGAAGCCATAGACGCTCTTGGTAGCTGCAGAAGCCAAGATGCCCCATTGGGATGTGGCCAAAGTGGGCTCTGTCCAAGAGAACGTTGTCAAAAAGCGGTTTAGGGCTGTGCAGCCCGTGGATTGTTGTGGAGACTTGCGGGATTTTAGAGATAAACCTCTATTAAGTTTCAAGACAATTTAGAGGAGCTGCGGAGGCTGTCGATGAGATCAAAAGAGCATTGGTACTGATGCTGACTGCACAACTTATTCCAACATGTTCTGCTGTCGGCGTGTCTGCTTAAATTCTTACCTGTCCCTTATCACAAGCGTATCGTATGGCTTTCCATCATGCTACAGGCAGTAGAAATGCAGCTCATGGGTGCAAGGAAGTATGAGCACTTTCTGCATGTATGCATGTATATATATATATATATATATACACATACATACGGTGCATAGGCATAGCCGCAATAGCCATAGAGAGTGCATATCCTGTGTTTTCGTAGGTAGGGTAGCACAATCACTAGCGGTGGTTGAGCACCTGATGTGTGAGTTTGCATGCGTACTTGTCAAGCCTGGCAGCGTGTTGCGTTGTTTCCATTGCTATTGCTTGTGCTCTTGATGCCGTTGCTGTCATTATTGTGTGGTTGCTGCCGTTGCTCTTGCTGTTGTTGAACACTCACTCTCTTTACTTTATGTTCCGGGAGTCCTTATATGGCATGGCGCAGTGGTGTTGAAACGCAGCCCCGGCCGTTGCTCATGGATGCACGTTGGAGATCGCTGAAGCACTTTGGTCTGAAAAGCCTAACTGTAAACTTACCCCTTAAAACGTAAGATCCTATCGCTGCGTATCGTTTCGCTTCCTCGAACCTCATGTCCACGGTGATGTCGTCTACCGCTGGAGACTTCCAGTTCATCAAGTTGGCCGCTGGGAAGCGTCGGGTTAAGGTTGTTCGCCGGAGTTTGTTCCTAGGGCAAAGCTCTGTGAATTCAGAGGCAACGAAAATGCACGGCGTCCCCTCAACTTCCCCGTGGTTATGGCAGCTTCGTTCGGGTTGCACCATCTCCCTCTGACACGCTGTGACCTCTATGCGCACACGCACACACACACACAGAGACATTTGCCCATTGGTATGTATACATACATACCTGTATACGAATGTTTGCCTTGCGATGTCTATTTTTGACCATGGTCGCCACGACGTAGAATTGCAGGGCTCGTTGCGCTTGAACGGCTCATACCAAGTGCAGGAGGTTTTTCAAAGACCTTGCAGTACGAATAGAGGTGTCTGCAAACTATGCACGTCTTACCAGACGGTTTCATCATGAACATCCTACTACTTCGTGCCGGATCTAGCCCCTTAATGCTGAAACTCCTACACAGGACCTCCAGTTAAGACCCGTGCCCCATGCAGATCTTGTGCTGCACTATTGCTTCGCTGGGTTTCGACGTTGTACGGCAGTGAGTGAAGTCATAGGATTCCCGGCCAAGCTGAAA